TTTCAGAACAAACATCATTCTTTGGACAATTCACAACATTTGTGTTGATATATGCATCTGAATTTTGCTGCAAATGAATGACCAAGAGGTTTTGAATGTTTTTAGTGATGAATCAATCTCTATACATTTTGTGGCTAAAGTAACATGATTTCACAATGAATTTATGATGGTGAAAATTTTATAACCATAGACTAATTTAGATGTGTTAATAAAATGAACAATGTGGAGCATCCATGAAATAATTTGCTATGAAACTCTAGATATTCTGCCATGAATTTCTGATTTGAAAACTTTTCTCATTTGAAAACTTATCTATCTTACATACCACATGTGAACATACATATGTACATACCTACATAAATACATGCACAAATGCGTGTGCGCACACACACATGCATAAAATGACTTGCTATGAGACTCTCAAGTTTTCACCATAAAGTTCTCATTCAAAAACTTACCATCTCACATACATACATATCCCCTTTTACACATGCATGCACACACACGCACACACATGGACAGAAAATTTCAAATTTCATGAATTATAGAGGTCTAGAAACAGGCAGATACAATAAAGCACAGGGGAATTGTCCATTTTTTAAAAATTACATGCACATATAGTGAATTCACCATCGATAACAGTTTCCTTTCTAAAGTGGAGGAACAAGCAGAAACCAAGCCTTTGTGTTGCAAAAGTAGTGTACGATAAAGGGAAATCAGTAACAAGCCTAGTTGTAGCATTGCGGGTGGCATTCACCAATTGGATTTGGACCAGTAGCACGTGTGTAGAGAGGAGAGGAAACAAGGACATATTTATGCTTTAACTTCTAGCTTTTCAAGTCCTATATAAAAGGAAGAATAATTAAAATAATCAGTCAGAATGCGGTTAACCATCCAATTAGAGATATTACAAATAATTTTCGCTTAGTATTACTAAATTCCATGACAGAATTATTTATGTTCAATAAAATATTTATAAATACCCAAAGAGATAAAGCTCTAAGATCTTCATTTTTCATGACTGATGTCATAATTATCACTGTATTCGTGACTTCCAACGTTATGCATAATTTGTTATATAAAATTTAGGAATTGACATTCAATCAGTTTACAGGATGTTCAGAAAGGAGAAGTTGGTATTTCTCTTATCTCTTATTGGTTCAAGCCATACTCCAACTGCCGGCCTGATTATGAAGCAGCAATTAGATCTCTTGACTTCATGCTTGGATGGTCAGTCTAAAAAAATTCATGCTTTCCGTAGAGCTTTCTATCAGCTACTAATCTGTTCGTTATTACTAATACTGTTATTACTACTATTTGTTTGTTTATTTATTTATCATTAGTACTACTGTTATTACTGCTATTAGCCTATTATTGATTCCATCCAACTCCTCAAAAAATCTACTTCATGCTTATGTCTCTTGCGATGGTTGCACTCATTTGGATTTTGTAGAGAAAGATTTGAAATCTAAATATACCCAGTGTCATCCTTGACATGGCCTTAAGTTGTCTTACTTACATTCAAATGTACCCATGTATCCCACTTTTCAGGTACTTGCAGTATGCAATTCTTTTTTCACTTACACTAAACCTACAAAAATTAAAGTTTTAAGTACATAAATGAAATAAAGACGTACTCTTATTTTCTTCATTTTTCTAATGTAGGTACATGGAACCATTAGCATTTGGAGATTATCCATTTATCATGAGGGCAGTTGTAAAGGATAGACTTCCCTACTTTACAGATGAGGAGACTGAGATTGTTAAAGATTCTTATGATTTTATAGGTGTCAATTATTACACAACAAGATATGCTCGCAATATACCAAGCTCGCAGAACTTTATCCCGGAAGTCAATTTACAAGAAGCATATGCTAGTAAAGTAGGTATGTATTCAGTGACATGTTTTTCTTCGGCTTTAACTTAATTTTATGGCAAATTTTGCATTACCCCCCAAAAGTTATCATTTTGATATAGTAACAAAAACTGTTTAAAACGTCATGTAACAACAAATAGTTTTGTTAAATAAACCTTTGACACAACTTTTTGGTAACATTTGTAAAATTTTTTGGTACTATAACAAAATGGGACGAAATTTTGGGGGGTTAGGTGATATTTAACCCTGATTTTGGTACAAGTGTGTCTCTTCCAGATAAATCAAAATGTATTCATTGTTACTATAGAACACCTTTGTAGGGTTACAATGTATAACAGGGGCAACAGCACCAATAAGAACAATAGGATTATAGAAAATATCTGTTATAATTATCATTATGAATACTGTCTTTCTCCTTTTGTCTTTCTCCTTTTTGAGATTAGCAACATGTTTTCCCCTACAAATTCCCTTCTCATCATGTATAATAAACTCTCATATGGCCGTCTCTTCCTCCTAAAAGCTCTGTAGGTTATAGTATCGATGGTTGACTGATTATATATTCTTGTAATATTTTATTTGCTTACTATCTTAATGTTCTATCAATAATTTGATATTCGGCTCATTTTTGTAACGCTCATGCAGTCCAACTAAAATGGATGGCAACAAGACAGTACAAGATGATAGAAGTTAAAATATCAAAACTGCAATGCAAAATAAGAAGTATAAATTGATTAAAGTCAAATTAGAGAGATCGGAGCAAAGTATATATATTAAGAATAATAAGAACTGTGGAGCAACGTTTACCCTTATCTGCATTCACTCAATCTGGAGCTCTGGTTCATATAATAATTTCAAATCAGATAATTATTTATAATTCCATTTCAGTATATCAATATGCACCAAAAAACTTGAAAGTGGGAAGGTATAGAAAATGTATGAAATTTTAGTTAAAATGATTAATAGTCCAGAAGCACAATAGCTCTTCATTTATTTATAGTTGATAAAATACAATAATTTTTTGATTAATTCCTTTCTTAATTTCGTTGCAGGGAAGAAGGACAATGTTCCCCTTGGAAAATTGGTATGTTCATTCTTTTCATCAAATTTCTAAATATTATATTTTGTGCTTGACTTGCAAAACTCTCAAGATAACATTTGAAGGAAAGATAAGGAATGCATTATCCATTGTGTTTACATGTTTTATACGTATTACAGAGGATTTATAATTTCTTCCTTGTACTTCATGAAGGCAATTTTTCTTAATATTTGAAAAAGATATAAAAAGTTTTTTTTTTTTGACAAAGACATAAATATAGTCCAACAGGTACGTTGATCTACTTCTAATTCCTGTTCCAGGAAGGAACATGGATTTATGTATATCCTGAAGGACTGAAGGAACTTCTATTGGAGCTGAAGAATAGATACAACAATCCTAAGATTTATATCACTGAAAATGGTAAGATTTTATATTTTTTCCCCTTTTCTGAAATGTTCAAAACTCCAGGAGATTTTAGAAGATTGCTCATTTGTTATATATACAAGCTTAAATGTAAGAATTAACAATTTATGCGTTTAATATATGCGCTTGAAAGTTATATATGTTCACACCAATCAGAGTTCATGGATCATGGTGAGGTCCTCTCCAGTTGATAGTTTCCTTGTCTAAAAATTTGGTGCCCATAAAAAGGTCAATTTTATTTTCAGGTTCAAATCTGCTTATAAAATTTCTTCAATATGGTAACCTTCCCTTTGGAAAGGCCTATATGATGATGACAGTGACAACCTTAACAACCATTTAATTTACCCAAAACCATAATGCAGTAGATTACAATATTAAACTAGCTAGATTAGACAGTATATATCAACCTTCAAGTAAATTTGTTAACCTTAATGTAGAGAGTGTCTCATGTCCATTCAGTTAAGTTTGGGTTTAGTTTAGAAAAAGGCATAGGATGGGATTTAGTTCCACATCAAAAACATAGTAAGATGGATAGACTAAATATGTTTGGCTCATGATTCAAATAGGATTAATCCTTTTGAGTCAATTGTGTCCAAGGACATTAGCCTAGTCTATATCCCTAATGGGCCTTTCCGACCCTAACAGTTAAGATGAAATGACCATGTTCACTTTGCTCAATATTATGTGAATATGAATATAGCTCAGACCTGACAAATGAGTAGATTTCATAAGATTTTCTTTTCAAGTTTTATGGACACTACTTGCATTGCTCACAAGCAACATCTATCTATTGCCTTAGAATTTAATCTGAGTTCTCAATTATGATATTCTGCTTTACTCATTTCATTTATGAAATTTTATATGAGAAAAACTAGTTATTACCTATTGGAGCGACATACTGACAAGCCTCTGAGTAGCTTCTACCAGAAGCCTGTTCCTATACTCCTCATCTTGTCTGAGCTCAACCTGTAGGACCTTCAGCCTACTCCCCAAATGAGTGAACTGCAAATAACCTGTGGAGGATAATATGACACAAAGAAAAGAAATTTAGAGAACCTCTATTATGATCACAAAAAAACTAATCAATCATGTACTTGCTATAACTGGAGTAGTTTAAAGTCAAACTTCAATTTCTAATCCAAACAGATTAATGATATAAAGTAAACCAGCTAAAAGTGACTTCAACTGAATAAATATTTGACTTCAACAATAATGTGAAGCCTTGCCTAGTACAGTGTTATCGAGGCGCAAAGCGCAATGCGGGGTGCAAAGGTCCCTTACGCGCACCATGCGCAAAGCGCACAACGAGGCGCGCGCCTCACTAATTGAGGAGCATAACTCAAACTAATATTTGCCAACATCATAAGACAGAAACATATAAGCAACATATTAGTTACCTACATCCAAAATTATGAGAATATCAACTTAAATCATCAAATTATGCTAACTGAATTTTTAAAGTAATAAAAAAGATACAAGAAACATGTATGTAAATCATCAAATTAAGTGATTAACAATTATGAGCATATGTTTATAAATTGTCACATAAAAGACTAAGAAATATAATTAACAAACATGACTGTTCATAATTTTCTAGTTAGTATTCTTAATTGATATTTGCTACTTAGCATGAAAAGATGAAGAATGAATGTAACAATTACATATTTACATGTTTATAATTTGCTAGTTAGCATGCTAATTAGAGAATGAAGTTACAATTAGCAAACAAGTATACTAAATTACTAATTATTGTTTCCTTTTTATAGGTTAAACATGAAAAGATGAAAATAGATTAGCAACTAGTAAGAAAGAGTATATTACATGATATAAATATGTAATTATGTAAATTATTTAAAAAAATAGAAGAAAGAGTATGTTACATAACGCAGGTGTGAGGCGCGCGCGAGGCGCACGCGAGGCGCGAGTGAGGCGCAAGTGAGGCGCACGCGAGGCGCGCGCCTCGCTGCGTGCAACGCCCCGCCTCGCGTGCGGGGCGCATTTCCCCCAGGCCGAAGCGCCCCGCGCCCGGGGCGCGCCCGAGGCGCGCGCCTCAATAAGCCTGGCCTAGTATTTATCTGAACCCAACAGGCAAAGATGATGTCTACCAACTTTGAACTTGACAAACTAGAGATGCTTAAGAAGTTATCTGAAATTCAACAGAATCTTAAACACAATCAATGGTGAAGCTTTCAAGCCATTTTGCACAGTTATATAACCTCATCTTTGCACGCACGCTCATACCGGAGTTTTTAGTTAAAAAATGAAACACATTCTAATAAAGTACGTAAAACAAACTTAAGTATTAGATAAGAAAGATAAACTCTCTTCATTCATACCGGAGTTTTTAGTTAAAATGAAACACATTCTAATAAAGTGCGTAAAACAAACTGAAGTACTAGATGAGAAAGATAAACTCTCTTCATTAAAAATTGTTTTTGACAGGAACTTGTGAGCTGGATGATTCTACGAATATTTTGACACTGGAAGAAGCACTTCACGATGAGGAAAGAATAGAATACTATGCTCTTCACCTTGCCAGTGTTAAAAAGGCAATCAGGTAAGGCTGCACATTTGTTGTTCAAATTTGAGACGCTGAAGCCGACTACAACTTTGTCATTTCTGATAATGATGCTCATGAATAACCTAATAGATTTCACCAACCACACTATATTGAACCGTCTAACTGCTTGTAAAAATCTTTGTTCTTTATTATAGTAATCCACTAGAATAAACCCTTCTTTTGCACCTGAACCATATAATCTAATTTCCACCTACTTCCTCGTAGAGATGTAGTTGAACATCACCATCATATAGGTCAAACTTAATTGAATCACAACTGATATTGGCACCACTATTTTTTAGTCTGTTAGTGATCTCAGTTTCAACTTAAATGAGAGGGTAGCTAGAAGTTCATAAATAATTTGGATGATATCCAGAAAATATTCTGAACATATAACGTTTCAGTTGAAATTTTTTTATGTTTCACATGCAAAAAATCTCGAGACTTCTTGTAGATAATTAGCAACTAGTAAAGATTAGTCGATTAATAGGTTGTGACACAAAGTGCAATAAAGGCCAAATACTTACTGATTGCAGAACGAAGGTATGCCTATACATAATTAAAAGCAAGGTTAATTGCAATAGGAACCCCTATGGTTCTATTGTTGCAGATAGACCCCCTGCGTGAAATTTTTTTTGACCCCATTCAGAGGGTCTGTCTGCATCAATAGAACAACAGGAGGTCTATCCTCAATTAACACTTAAATGCAAAATGCATGTCTTTGCTCTTTATGAGGCTCAGTCATACTAGAAGATGTGCAATTTGGCTTCAGGTAAAGCAAATGTTCAATCATATTAGAGTTATGCCAATTGCTTTAAAAAAGAAAAGAAAATAGTTGATCTTAAAGTAAAAAGTGTATTAATATTACACCATGAAATAGTGCACAGGAGATGTACAACATCAATAGTGATGATATAGCAAATAACAATGGACAAATTACATGTATCTAATCTGCCAACCTGTTAGAGGTATTTTGAATATTTTGTGTGAAAAACTTGATTAAGTAATTGCCTTTTCAATATCAGACAATTTTTAACTAAATGTTTTTTTTTTCGATTTGCGACATATAACAACTTCAATGAAATTGCTAACTGCTTTTTCAATCATCAAAAGAAGTTTCTTCTAAATGGTTGCAATTCCTAGAAGGATCCAAACTTGATGAAAAGTAATCTTACAATCCAAACTTGATTAAGAATAACCTTACCAGATGATTTATTAATCTATTTATAAAACACTTTATTGTCCAGAAAATAATCTGGATCTATTTGTATAATAAAATTACTCAATATTCGAAAAGTGCAATCAAACAGTACTAGACTAATCAAAATTTTTAATGCAGGTGTGGAGTCAATGTGAAGGGATTCTTCGCATGGTCTCTTCTGGACAACTTTGAATGGAATGGGGGTTACACAAACCGCTTTGGGTTGACATACATAGACTACAAAAACAACCTCAAACGCTACCCAAAGAAGTCCAACAAATGGCTTACCAACTTCCTTAAGGTTTAACTTCTTATCTTGGGGAGGGAGGTCGTTTCATTTTCCAAAAGTTAGTCAAATAGGACTTTTAGTGTAATGAAGACAATGGTTAACTAAGAAAAAAAACACTATGGTAGCTCTTCTATATTGTTAGTATCCAAATAAAAATCATTATCCTTGATGTAAACTCAATGTATTTTGTTTCAATTCAAGATTGAATTATTCATTGGAATGTTTGGGTTTTAAGTTTGTTATATGCATTAGATACACATGGCAGTCTCCATGAGGAGTTTCAGTCAGAAAAGAAAGGGGTAGGGATTAATAGTTCCTCTTTATACTAGTTTTATCAGTATGGATCCAATTTAAGCTCCATTTTCTGATGAACTATGAGTTTTATTATCCTAAGGAGAACTAAACACAGTCATAAAAGATGCATGCAAGATAGTAAAGGACAATTTATCTACAACTACAGAGCGCGAGGCATGAGACGTAAAAATTCCAAAAAGCTAACACCCCATTTGATTACGTAACGACATTAACAAGGACCATGACTCATAACAAAGATGTAAACCAAAAATTAACGGATCAATCTGTGGTTTCTCATGAACTTCTCCATTCAATGAGCACGGGAACAGCACAAGACACAGGCTAAAAGGTTATAGTGCACTAACACATATATCTCAAAGTTGATATAAGATCACCTTTGTTGTCTGCAGTAGGAAAAACAATAAAGTCTCTATCTATTGACAACTTTTGATAATAATTTTGGAAACAGAGGCAAACTTAGTCCATAGATCGAGTCAGATAGTGATTGAGGCTTTGGAGAAAGTCTGTTGACATCTAAATGGCTTAATTGCACTTAAATACCCTATAGTTTCCTGTACTTTGCACATATTTAACCTCATTGTTTATGGCAATGGTAATGCCCTAAAGTTTTTTAAATTTGCACTTTGCTACCCGTGGCAATGCAAACATCTAATTTTAGAACATTTTAACTCTTAGTTGTTAAATTTTCTTTTAAAACCTATCAAAATTTTTTAAAATTAGAATTAGGAGGGGTATAAATTGGAATTATGTTAGTTCTAACAGTAAATTTAACAAAAATTAAGGCTTAAAAAGTTCTAGAATTGGCATGTGAATATCGCGTGCTCAGGAGAAATTCTCACATTTGCATAATTGAGGATATTAAAGTGCAAATTTTAAAACCTTAAGGGTATATAAACGCTGCCAAAAACAATTGAGGGTATATAAGTGCAAAGTTGGAGAAACTATAGGGTATATAAGTGCATGTAAGCCCATCTAAATATTTAAGCATGTACATTTAGGTAAAAATTCTAGAATTGGCATGTGAATATCGCGTGCTCAGGAGAAAATTCTCACATTTGCATAATTGAGGATATTAAAGTGCAAATTTTAAAACCTTTAGGGTATATAAACGCTGCCAAAAACAATTGAGGGTATATAAGTGCAAAGTTGGGGAAACTATAGGGTATATAAGTGCATGTAAGCCCATCTATATATTTAAGCATGTACATTTAGGTGTCTAAGTTGAAATTAGGATTATCTATGTACCTTCAACAATAATCAATTTGGGATTTTCTCACTCTTTGAATAACAATGATTAATGCCCTAATAAGGGTTGATTGATTTTGGTAAAACCTAAAACCAATATATAGTTATATTCATCAAAGCCTAATTGATTAGATTGGGAACTCAAGGTCTACTGTATGAATCATATAGAATCTTTGTCTGCAATAAATAAAAAAGGCAAAAATTTAGAATTATTGATTTCTTAAAATAAATAGTTGGGGAAGAGAAAGAACTGACCTTTGTGGACACCGATGGAGTTGGACCAGAGGATGATGGAGGTGGTGATGATGAAGGGCCGTTTTCAGGGCGTCGCTTTCAGAAATATGTATGATAACGTACACTTTGCTGTTTGGTTGGTTTCTCAGAAAGTAGAGAAAAATAAATTGTAGAAAGAAACAAGGGGAAAATGTGTCATCCATGTTGTTTAGCCTTAAAAAACTCAAAAAAAATGACCCAACTTCAAAAGCTCACTTTTATACATGAATGATTTGTATTTGTACAGGTCTTCCAAAAATACCCTTTTCTCACTCAAACTGTCATGCCCACTCTCTCTCTTCTCTCTTCTGTTGCTCAAACACCCAAAACCTAACCCAAATCCAATCCCTCACTGACGTCGCCATGATGACTCTACTCCTTCACGAATGCATCGCCTACGAGCACTCTCTCGACGTCCGCCTCGACTCCCTCCTCTCCTACTTCCTCGTTCTCGACCGTAGCCTCCTCGCACTCTGCCGCTCCTCCTCCCCTCTCCTCTCCCTCGCCCGCTCTGATTCGTCCCCCCTCCTCTCCTCCCTCTCCTCCACCGCCTCCCTCACCCATTAAGTTTCATCTCGCGTTCGCCAGCTCAACCTTGCCCAGTCTCGATCCATCTTGCGCTCTCCCACATCGACGTCGCACTTCACCGTTCGCAGTCCCTCGACGCCGCTTAATGATTACTCGACGTGGAGGACTACGATTCTATCACCGCATCAGGAATTTGTTGTCCGTTGGGGTTTCCTAAGGGCCGGATCCAAGAGAGGTGGAGACGAACTTGGAGGAGATCTTGTCATTGATGCATTTGAGGGGGCGATTATATTGAGGTCATGATGTCGAAGATCAGGGGATTGTGGTTCGTTGATCCTGAATTTGGTTCAGAGACTCTGAAGAGATTAAGTACTGTGAGTTTTAATAGAGTGTTGCAGGAGCTAACTGGGTATATATGGTCATTGAGGAATTCTTTATGGTAGAGAATGTGAGGAAGGCAATATCAATTGATGAGCAGCAACTAGAAAGTCTGACAACATCAATGGTGGTTGATGTGATTGTATGGGTCTGATGTTTCATACATATACATCAATGTCATTACATTTTAGGTAAGGGGCTGTTTGATTATTTCCTAAAAAACCAAAAAATAGAAATGCAAACCAAGAAAACTCAAAAAGTACAATTTCACACATTTCTATCCCTAAAACTAAAACTTCTCTAGATGACAAGAGAGAGAGATGGATTGAATGCCCAAAATACAATTGATAATCTCCTCAAGCTCTTGTAAAACTTTCTTCATAAACCAAACCCTTAAACAAACTTAAAACAAGCTTAAACTCTTTTAAAACTCTTTAAAACATTCTCTTGGGTTACTTTAAGTGTTAAGGGATGATGGATATTTATAAGAACTCAAGACAACAACCCAAAGCCAAAGAAAAACAAGAAAAGACCAAAAAACCAACTCATCATCTTCATTTCTTTGATTTCCTTCTTTTTTTAGCAAACCAAACACTCCCAAAACAATTCTTTGATTTAATAGTTTTCAATTTCTTTGATTTTCAATTTTTTTAGGCAAACAAACAGGCCCTAAATATAATACACTTGAGAAAGTATGAATGAATCTGGAGAAAGTAAGAATGAATCTGGTATCATACGTGCCAGAGTTGCAGCCGAGCTTCAAATAGAAGGATGAGGTAGAAAAATCAAGCAAAGCCATTAAATAAGGATGAAGAGAAATTTGTTTCAAAAATTAATTTTTTATAAAAACTTGTGCGTATGTTTATATGTGTTACTGATTTTGGTTATATTAACAGTAGATGTGGATGACAAACAATGCAACAAGTTTGACTTTTATTATTCTTATTGTATTTATAGTATTTTTGTCATTAATTTGATATGTTCATTATTGATGCCACAAATACTTAACATGTTCAGCTGGAAAGTTAACATGTTCAGCTGAAAGTTAACAAACATCGCCAAAAGTTAACATTGTTCGAACGAAAGTTAACAAGAAAAGCAAAAAGTTAATATGTTCAGTCGAAAATTAACAGCCAATGCCAAAAGTTAACACGTTCAAATGAAAGTTAACATGTACAGACTTAAATAGTTAACAGTAAATGTAAATAGCTTACATATAAAATCATTGTACTTCAATACGATTAATCTTACATTCTTACATCTAATATTGCTTGAATACACAATTTGAATAGTATTCTACGGTGAAAACCACTTCAGTAGGAATAATAATACTATTCAAATTTTATATTCAAGCAATATCAGTTATAAGAATGTAAAACTAATTATTTTGAAGTACAATGATTTTATATGTAAGCTATTTACATTTACTATTAACTATTTAAATCTCTTGTTAACTTTGAGCTAAACGTGTTAACTTGTGGTGTTCCCTGTTAATTTTCGTTTGTACATGTTAACTTTTTGTGTTTCCTGTTAACTTTTGGATGAACACGTTAACTTTTGGCGCTACTTATTAACTTTAAGATGATGAATTTTTTCTCAACAATTGTTCCTCGTAACGGTTAACTATTTAAGCCTGTTGTTAACTTTCGGCGTTTCCTGCTAACTTTCAACTGAACAAGTTAACTTTTGGCGTTGTTTGTTAACTTTCAGATGATGGAATTTTTCTCGACAATTGTTCCTAGCAATGGTGAGAATGTATTGAGATCAAAAGATATTTTCAACAACACTTCCATAATTTCTCAATGGTGTTACACATCATTAACTGAAAGGGTCAACAATTTGAAAATATAAAAAAATTGAGAGTAGTTTTGTAATACTATTCTATGATGAAAAATACTCCAGCTAGGAATAATAATACTATTCAAATTATTTATTCAAGAAATATTAGCAGTAAGAATGTAAGACTAATTGTACTGAAGTAAAATAATTATATATGTAAGTTATTTAAATTTACCGTTAACTATTTAAGTCAGTACATGTTAACTTTCATTTGAACGTGTTAACTTTTGGCATTGCCTGTTAATTTTCGGCTGAACATTTTAATTTTTGCGTTTCCTGTTAGCTTTCGTTTGAACAATGTTAACTTTTGGCGATGCTTGTTAACTTTCAACTGAACA